GATTTTTTGGGCTGTACTCAGCAAGCGCAATACAGCTTCCAACTCAGATCTGAAAAAAATTTAGTGGATCGTTGTTTTCTGACTGGTCGGCCCTCCTGGTCGGCTGCAATACGGTCAGCGATCGGGGTTGGCGGTCGGCAGGGATGCAACCATGAACTACGGCATAAAAGACTACATTGAGGTATTGGTCAGTGTTGTGATCTACGACTATCGATTACAAGCTAGTAAGGTAGGGAGTGTGCGATGCATAAGTGGAAGGAAGTATGAGGGATGCCTTTGCGGCCAGCACCAATGGGAGTCTCCCGGTTGTCTGTAACGGCTTCTCCTCTCCCCCGCCGTTTCTTGTTGTTTCTTTTTTGGGCTTTTCATATTGTACATTTTCTGGTTTGCCGGGGAAAAGCAACCGGACTGTGTCACCCAGAATAGACAGGGGTTGTGTGTGTTTTGCAGAGATGAGCACCGGGTACCCAGACCCGCACCCACCTGCACCCACCCCACCCACGAGGACATTGGGTCAGGTGCGGGTCTTGATAAGGTGACCTGGGTGGGATGAGGGCGGGTCAAGGCCAGGCTGCCTGGGTGGGTTACAGGTGGGTCAACATTAGGCCTGTGTCACCCGAGTGGGTGGGTGACAGGTGGGTGAGTGCTAGGCCTGGGTCACCCGACCCACAGACCCAGGACAACCCATGAGGACCCCCCACCTACCCCCCCCAATCCCTGCACAAAATGTCCACCCCCCTAAAAAAGTCGAAGGTGCACGCACGAAATGTCAAGTCCCGTCGTCGGCCTGCCTGGAAAAAAAAAAAAAGGTCGAGGTCCTCCTGAAAAAAAAAAAAAAAAAAAGGAGGAACCTTCTATCAAATTTTTCGCATGCTGCTCTTGCCTCTTGGCGGCTGCACCACGGCCCACGTTTAGACGAGTTACCGCTTTCAAATGGGGTGCTGAGTTTCGCTCCCATTAAAACAACAGGGGGCGAACCTAACCACAACATCTGGCAAGGTTCGCTCCCCAGTTTTGAACTTATGGAGCGCTTTGAATTTTGGCGCCGTCATCCGGCGACGACACAACTTGTGCATGGTTCAGCAGCAGGGAGGAGGTGGTGGGCCGGCGAGGAGGGGGGCAACGCACCGACGGCCTGGGGAGCAACAGCGCGGCTGCGAGCCACGCACCGACGGCCTGGGGAGCCACGCACTGACGGCCTGGGGAGCAACAGCGCTGCTACGAGTGAGCAGCAGTAGAGAGAGCGAGCGAG